GGTGTGGCTGCAGCAGCTCCGGTTCAGGTTAGGTTAGTTTATTTTTGTTCCCAAAGCTAAATTCAATTTTTGACCCATAAAAAAAAAAAAAGAACTGACAAGACAAGATCAAAAATAATGAAGGCTCCAATATTTACTTTGACCACTAAAATAAAAATAAATAAGCTAGACACTATCTTTGAATGGTCTTAGAAAAGCAAAAGACAAAAAATCGGCATGGGTTGTCGGCCCTCATTTTGGTACTCGTCCTTTACTTAGATCTCACTTACACTTATCAGTTTCTGGACTGAATCTTGCATTGTTGCAATACAATCACATTCATAAAATATGTAAGAAAAGGACGGACGGACGGATAAAGAAATATGCAGCCTTGTTTTCAGAAAAAAAAGAATCTCCTCAAACAAAACATCTTGAATTGCTTTGCTTGTTTGTATTAAAAACAACTACACTGTAAAATCAGACTCAAAAAGATGCAGAGAGGAAGAGGAATCTTCACATTCTCTATTTTATTTAAGGATGAATGATCAATTTCGAACATACTGTATGTTGTTGTCAACAATGTTCCTCCCCCAACGTCCACCTGAAAGACAAGACCTCGTAGTATTTCTTTAACTGTTTTATTTTACTTATTCACTGACAAAGTTGCCAGAAAACTCACAAAAGCTCTACACTGTAATACAATAATACAGTAAATAACTACCAAATGTTTTCTTCAAATTAAGAAAAAGAACAATTTCTTGGCTTGGCTAAGTCTTTAAAATGTTACATCCCTATTAGTTTTGTCTTAAAAATGCTAGTTTAGTCTTCTGAAGCCAGCCTCTGAGGAGCCAGGTTTGGTGGATTTTCATCAGACGATGTCAAATGCATGGAGGTCAATGGCCAAGCCCATTGTCCAAGGGCAGAGGATGCTTGTTCTCAACCTCCAGTGAACCTTCAACCACTGCATCTTCTTGCTCTCCCCCCCCCCATTATTCTCCACTTAATACATATACTCGTCTTCCTTCTGTTCTACCTGTAGCTCCTCCTTCATTTTCCTCCCACTTGACTCCTCTCCCTATTCTTGTCACTGTACTGAGATGAAGTGATTTGTATTTGTTTACAGCACAACTCCTCCCCTTATCCCACCACAGTATTTTGGCCCTTCCCCCTGCATCTCCTCCTCATTACACTGAAGCCAGTGTTTCAGCTTGCCTTCCTGTCGCCAACAAAGCATCTCCTCTCTTTGTTGGGGCCTCCTTTTGGAGAGGGAGGCCGCACTCCAAGTTAATTGTGCATGCGTTAGCATTCGCCTGCGGCAACTTAACAACTTCACTCCTTAAACTGTAGATGAAGTGGTGTGGTGTGAGTGTGTGTTTTTGTAACGTTTGTTTTTCTTTTCCGTTTAAGGCTGTAGACACATCGCTAAATGCAGCAGAAACGTTTATTCTCTGAGGAAACAAGCTCAAAAGGTAGATCAAGATGTAGAATTATTCACATTCGAGTCAAAGAGAAGGGAAGATTATTGTTCATTTACATTCCTCATAAACAGCATACAGCATGTATGGAAACTGGTAATACAATTTAAAATGGTTGGCTTGTTAATGTTTGCTCTTTAACTCAAAGTGTAGCTGAGGCTGATGGGAACGACATTAGTTGTGAATATGAAAAAGGAAAGTGTGTAGTAGTCCATGGCAACCAATTCAATAATTTCACACAACACAAATGTGAGCCTCATGGTGTTGGTCAGCTGTCTTCAAAGTCATTAGGATAAATCCTCAGGGAACCATGAATATCTGTACTTAAAATCAGTAATTATTTATTTTTTTCTAATAAAAACAAACATGAGACTGTCCTTGTGAAAACTGATTACTTTACAGATAAAGAGTTCCCATAGAAAGACATGTTCAAATGTTACACATAGGGTATATTAAATAAATAAATACAAAGTCCAGAACAATGCTCCGATTAGAAAAGGGTCATACTTGCCTAACATATTTGGCAAGGGAGTCTTGTGACTGCAAATGCTTTGGCCACAAACTATCCGAAAGACTATTTATTGAGTGATTAAGATGGTTACAAACAGCCTTTTCTATGTCATCATTTTGTTTAGTGGTGATAACTGAGTTTGATATACAGTATATCCCCATGACAAATAATATTGCAGAGGTTTTGTGAGAGATGTTTAACATCAGGCCACCAATACCTTTCAGTAATAACCTTATTACCGCTTTAAATTGGTTCCATTTGTTGGTTAGTCTCTTAAAATGATCGTACCGATTTCTGTAAGTAAGTTCCTGACCTTTTTGTGGAACAAAAAACAAGTTCATGCTGTTATGAGGATTAAGTTCTAATCAGACAGTGATTGACAGGCACTCCCCTAATGCGGCTTTCACACCAGCGCTTTTCCCTTTCTAGCTCCGAGCTAGAGCTTTTCTGGTTCAGCTCCGGTTTCCCTTTTCTGCTCCCGCTCTGTTCACACCGCCCAGCACCCGACTGGTGCTGCCGCTGCTGCGTCATGACGTCACCGTTTACATCGCTGATTTTCTCCCCAACGGCATTACGGCGCTCACAACAACAACAACAACAACAACAACAACAACAACAACAACAACAACAACAACAACAACAACGGGGAACTGCGTCGGGTCGATGATCGTGTTGCTTTTAATCACACGAAGCCAGAATAAATTGAATAACGACTTCTCCAACCTTATACTTTGCTCCAGAGTGCCGTGGTTCATTGTTTATTAATGTGTTTCTGCAGCATTTACCGACCGCTGCAGTGTTGGCTGCTCTTCCACGGGAGTTTATTCTCCCGTTAGCTCCCGGTTAGCTCACACTGCAGCGGCCGCTCTAAAGTATTCACTGTCCGACTCACAAGCAGCTGATACATATCCCCAGTTCCCCTTAGCCTAAGTGAATGTGTGTCAGTCTGAATTGACGCTGTTTGGCATCACAACGCTGTTATGAAAGTTTCTCTGGTATAAAATGGGTGATGTTAGCATAGCAACCGAAGCTAAACTGACTACTTGCTATTGCTATCCTATTGTGGCATAAACCGTTTTCTACAGGCACATTATTACTAAAAATGTTAGCAAACACCAAACTCCAACTACAACATTTATAGATAAATTGATTTAGCAAAATGAAATCTTATGTAATTCAAAATGTGACAAAAGAACAATGATTTGTCTTACACAAGATTGTGGTCTAACAGAATGACTCTTGACCTCCTGGGGTCAAATAAATTGGATGCTGATCATCCTTAACATGTGGCCTGAAAAACAAAAGGACCTCTTAATCATTAACACAATGGACTCTCAGAGATGAGATCTAGCCATGAGGTGGCTGACTTTAAAATGAACTGTGACAAAGAAACCACATGCGTGTGGGTACATTATAGTTTAGAAATATAACACAAAACAACACTACATTAAAAATAATAACCATTCAAATGAGCTTTGGTGAAAAGCATGAAAAACAAAACAACTTAATCTACTCTCATTGTTCGTGTACATCTTTACTCCAACTATTTCACCATCTAGTAATGCCAACTGGCTGGCTAACTAGCTTAGCAGTATAGCACTAACCTCATGTGACTGGGGGAAGGGGAGGGGAACACTCAACATGTGCAGATAAAAACCCACACTGCTTGGAGACTGAGTTCAATACAAATTAAATCATACGACTTGTAGTCTGGCTTCAATAAAAATGTAACCAGACAAGGCCAGTTCATAACACTTAGAGCTGAACTTCACTGTTGTATGATCAATACAACTCCTAAATAACATTACAATATATATTTCTTACAGTGAGTTTGTTATCTAATGTTTAACAAATTCTCCTCTTTCTATGTCCAATCTAGGTGGAATAATCCACTATTATATTTAATTTGAATCGAACCTTAACCTCAATGTACTTCATATACTCAGTAAAACCTCTTTTTACTTTCCCTCAACGTTACTGTATGTAATTAAATTCCTCTGAAATATAATTAAGTACAATTCTCAGTTAATGACGAATACCACGAAATTCACAATGCAATGCAATAGTAACAATCAGTTCTCAAAACTTCTCATAAAAACCACAATGTGACGTAACTGTATCCCACAAAAACTATGCTAAAAACAACAAATTATAGTTTCTTATTTATTTAAATATCTACCACCTCAAATCACATATTGATCTATTCATTTTCAATGTTATTCACTTCAACTTCAGATCACTCGTTGATTATTCACTCCTTGTTTTAAATGCACTCCTTTTTCTTCAGACATTAAAGAAGAGAGCAAACAGGAGAGAGAAAAAAAGGGGGGGGGGGAATACTCTCACAGACACCCCGGCTGGAGCTGTCAGGCATTTCAGGAGAAGGTGGGCTTTCTTGAAACAAGAATGACTTCGTATTTCTTTATCTGACTAAGGTTATTCTATGTTCAATAATATCTTCTATTTATTCACAAGCACATAAATATATCCTCCTCGCTGTCTGTTCAGCTTTTAAGATGCGATATTTCTTTCAACAGAATGGGCGTTAAACACAACAGAACAAGACAGTGAGAAATCCGTTCATTTCAATGGCTTTTGAAGTTGGCGTTTCTGCTCTTGGATTTTTTACATATAATACAACTGCAGTTCCTATGAGACTGGAAAGTATTATTCAGATTGGTCACGGAGGGAGACTCAATACTACCATTTGACCCCCCCAGGAAGTACAGCCTGTGAGAACTCAATATCTACACTAAGCTAGAGACGCTATGCCCTTCCAGCCGTCAGAGACTCAATACCTGACGCTGAAAATACTTCGCTGCTTCACTTGTAGCTAACGAGTTTAGCCGTATGATTCTGACAAATCTACGAAGCTTTTAACCGTTGCTTAATTTATTTTATAACTTACCTACCTATGCTAAAATATGTATTGCATTATACCGTCAATACTATGACACTGGGAAATATCTTTGACAACTCTAAAATGTAGCTTTAGCCAATTACAGACTTTCGATAGAAACAGGCGTCCGTTTTACCTTTCAGTTGTAGGATCCTGGTTTTAGTTGTCATAAATTATTCCAGGCATCTCCCTCCGTCCGCTGGCTGCTAGTGTTTTCCTCTAAAAAACCCTACTCATGACGTCACCACGTCGGCACGTCCTCACGTCACCACGTCATCACGTCATCACGTCGGGTCCACCATTTTGTAGGAGCAGATATCTCTGCTCCGCGCCGATCCTATATGAGTTTGTTTTAAAAGAAGGAAAACTCAAAACAACCAGGATAGGGGTTAAACAATAATCTGTTTTAATGATAAAAGGTAAGAATACAATACACTTCTCAAAGGGGTAGGCCCACCCCCTGCTCTGGTCCAAATGCCGGGAGAACCTCATCATCTTGACGGCAGGAGAAAAAGAGACCAGACACAAGGACTCAACAGGAGATATTGTAAAAACAACAGGAGGAGCTGTGTGCATGGTCCTCCCATACAGGTAATCTATTGGCCCATATACAAACGATGGGCTTTCGTAGCGTATCAGCGCGCGCCAGCCGAGATGATCCGGAAACAGTCTCTCAGTTTGAAGCAAAACAAACACATCTGGCGTTCACTGTCTCGTATTACTGCAGCTTTCATACACACACATTCTTCAGACTTCTGTCTATAGCATATGTCTATATAAGGATATTTCCTCTCTGTCCCCTACACTTCTCAATGACAGGGAAGTTTTCACTCCTCATATCTGCAGCTTTTTGTTCATATAAACTGCCACTATTAATTACAAAGTAATTAAGTACACACATGAATATATAAAAACACACTTCTTATATATCAGGGGACATTAAGATGAATATACCAAAAATACGCTGTATCAAACTTTCACTTCAAACTTTCAAGTTACTTCAATTTTCGCTCAATGCTCACCTTTCCACTTCCTGCGAGGGGGGGCTGCCTGCCCGACCTTATGTTACGGCTGCGCCGCGGCAAAAATAGGATCCATCCTAATTTTAGAGAAGCTCTTCGCCGAGCCGCTTCTGGGCCGAGCCGCTTCTGGGCCGAGCCGCTTCTGGGACGCTTCTGGGACGCTTCTGGGACGCTTCTGGGACGCGTCTGAGCCGTAACGCGGCGCGTGTGGTGGAATAGCACCCATTGACTAGAGTGGCCACGATCTTTACGACCGCCGCGGTGCAGCCGTAACGCGGCGCAGCCGTAATACGGCATAACGCGGCGCAGCGCGGCGCAGACGGACCCGGTGGAAACTGGGGGTTAGGGTTGTCTGCCATGAGAAGGGTGTGTTTGTGTGTGTGTGTGTGTGTGTGTGTGTGTGTGCGTGTGTGTGTGCGTATGCGTGTGTGTGTGTGCGTGTGTGTTCTGACACTGAAAAGCCAAGGGGCTTTATTGAAATCTAGGCAGTCAACATTGAACAAATATACTAAAGTGCCTGTCTTTGTAGAAGACAGTGCAAAACCCTTTTTCTTTTGGATTATTCGTTTTCTCCTGTTTTAAGTTAGAGTAGGTAAGAAGCCTGTATATTTATTTTTCTCCTTCATTAGGTAAGATTTTGTGTTAAAGGTTAGTTTGTTTTATGGTTTTGCTACTCCCGTTTTGTTAAATTTGTAATCAGACTTTCAGCATGTTTTTTTTGTTGTGAAAGTATATTTTTGTTGGATTCTGATTTGGTAAATTAAATTTACCAAACGACATTCTCTGTCTCGGCGTCCTTTGTCTTGAGAGTGGGAAAAGTGGGGAGAGAGCAAACTTTGTGCTGGGCCTAGGTTCCCCTAGGCCTGGGCGTAACATAATTGGGGGCTTGTTCATCCGGTCTTTCCGTTTTTTTTCGTCGTGTCGGGTAAGCCTCGCTATGTTTTTTCTTCTTGTACATTTTTGTATCTCTGGTTGACGGTTTTTTTTCTTCTCTATTTTGAAAATTAACATGGCTTTTTGGGGAAGGCTGGCTATTACCGTCAGGGGCGCCGTAAGGGGGTGAAAAGTTAGGACGATTCTAAGGGCCCGTGACTGACAGGGGCCCAAACTATTTTATAACATTAAGAAAAAAATGTTTAAGTAACCAATGTGATATCTTTTCATGGGGCCCAAAATCCCTGGCGGCGCCCCTGATTACCGTGCGTTTTGCAGAAATGATATTGTGGCTCCCTTGACGGGTTTAGCAAGTCCTAAAGTCCCTTTCCAGTGGTCGTCGTTATGTCAGTTGGCTTTCGAGGCCGCCAAGGCGGTCCTCTGTAGTGCCCCGGCACTTGCTGCTCCAAACTTCACCCGCCTTTTTAAGCTGGAGGTAGACGCGAGTGCGCTAGGTGCGGGCGCAGTACTCCTGCAGCAGGAGGATGAGCGGGACATTGATCATCCGGTCTGTTTTTTTCTTCTTTTGAAGAAGTTCAAGAAACACCAGCTTCATTACAGCACCATCGAAAAAGAGGCCCTGGCTTTACTTTTGGCGTTACAGCACTTCGAGGTGTAGGGTCGAGTTCTGTGCCAACTGTGATTTTCTCAGATCACAATCCTCTCGTGTTTCCGTCTCGGATGCAGCATGGCCGTATCTACAATTGAGGCCCCTCCTCGACTCCCCTCCTCGACTCCCCTCCTCGACTCCTATCCTCGAGACTTAGTACCGCCCACAGGAGATGCGAGCGGAGGAGCCGAGGAGGGGAACCGAGGAGAGAGGAGGGGAAGCAGCAGGCGGTTAGAGAAATGAGAACTCCTCTCCTCTGAGCGGTCATTTTAAAGAGACGTCCATTAATGATGACAGGAGGCACAGCAGCCCTCTGTCTGATAGACAGATGTGTTCATGACCACTTATATATTTATTTGATTCATTCACAGTGCGGTATAATGAGACAATAACAGGCTACAGATGCGGACACACACACACACACATATATATATATATATATGTATATATTTATATAAATATATACAATTTCAGAATCAAACAGACCTCTCTGGTCGCTACAATGAGGAAAATAAATTACGGGCCAAAAGTTTTATTTACAAGTATTAAAAGTAAGCAGAGGACACCAAACCAACTGAGACCTGTCTGTCCGCTGCATCTACACACACACACTGTAGGCCTACCACACACACCTACACATAATCAGGCTACAGCCGTTGTGTATTTTATTATGTGAAGCACTGAATGGTTTTAGAAAAATATCGACTCTTTGTTTGTAGATATCTACTAAACTAAAGCAAATAAAGAGAGTAGGCCTATTATACTGAGTGATATATATTATACACACTGCTCTGCTTTCTGCACGGACCTCACAGCTGTTCTCACTGTAAACATCGCGTCGCGATGAAAGCAGTTTCTAAAATAATATCCAGGGGATGCATGCAGAGCTGTCATTGGCTGAGATAAGTCCGGCCGTGCGTCACGACTCTTTGAAACATCTCTGTTTCCGGAAATGCATCCGCGAAGGAGCCGTGGAGGACCGTGGAGGACCCATCAGTGTATCCTCAGTTAGAGCTCCTCCAGAGAGCCTCCTCGATGCTCGATGCTTGGTTCTCGAAGTGCATTTAGAGAAATGAGATGTCCTTCAACATGGCGCGCTAAAATTCATTTCCGGGTCACTACCGGAGGACCAAGGAGTCGAGGAGGGGGATTTGATCTCCTTAGTTACAATGTTGTCCATTTTAGACAAAGGCTTATTATGGAGTCAGATTTGGGTCAATATTCTAGCGTGCAAAACAAGCTACTCACGAGCGGAACATGTGCTTTTACACGCGCATTAAATGACCCTTGCGCGCAGATTAAACCCCCGCGAGCGGCTATGTGCTCGCTCGCGAGAGAGACAGCCCTCTTGCTCCCTCGCGGGAGTGTCAGCCTCACTCGCTCGCGGAGTCTGTCTACGCGCGCGTGAAAAGTTTCTGGCACTTTGGGGCGGAGCCACTGTATGGAGTCAGATTTGGGTCAATATTCTATCAAATGAATTGAGATATATATATATATATATATATATATATATATATTAGCTGTACACTTTACGAATATAATAGTTTTGTATGGACACATTTACCATTCAATCTCGTCCAACTGATCTTGCAGCTGTCACTCCTCGGCTCTTGGTAGTTCAGGCATTTATCAAACCTGGCAACTCCGGGCTTCCTGGCAGCTGTCAATCAAAGTCCAGTGGCTCCGCCCCAAAATGCCAGAAACTTTTCATGCGCGCATAGACAGACTCCGCGAGCGAGTGAGGGGTTTAATCTGCACGCGAGAGTCATTTTATGCGCGTGTAAAAGCACATTTTCCGCTCGTGAGTAGCTTGTTTTGTGCCCTAGAATATTGACCCAAATCTGACTCCATACTCTGGACTTTGATTGACAGCTGCAAGGAAGCCCGGAGTTGCCAGGTTTGATAAATGCCTGAACTACCAAGAGCCGAGGAGTGACAGCTGCAAGATCAGTTGGACGAGATTGAATGGTAAAGTTGTCCATAAAAAACTATTATATTCGTAAAGTGTACAGCTAATATATATATACATATATATATACATATATATATATATATACATACATATATATACATATATATCTTAATGAATTTTATATAAAACAATATATTTTTGAGTGGGCTGTATCTGTCGAAAACTGCTGTCTGCTGTATGCACCTCCCTTACGAAATGAACTATAAATGAATTATAATATTACTATAGTATACTATAAGAGTTGTATAGTGTCCTTTAGTAAGTTTGTATTTTTCACCAGCTATAGTATTACTATAGTTTTTTCTGTAGTGCCATTTTATTAGCTATAGTAGCCCTATAATATTTCAATAGTAATACTATGTATCTAGATCTTTGTAGTATTCCTATATTATTTTAAATAGTATAACTATAGTATAATATATAGTATTTCTGTAGTTGTTTTTTGAACACAAGAACACTCCTATAGTAATAGTATGATGTTGTCATAATGAATGCATATTATTACTATATATATTATTGTAAAAGTATTGCACTCCTAGAATTAATGTGTAATTTTTTTTATATCAAATTAATTTATATATATATATATATATATATATTAGCTGTACAATTTACGAATATAATAGTTTTTTATGGACAACTTTACCATTCAATCTCGTCCAACTGATCTTGCAGCTGTCACTCCTCGGCTCTTGGTAGTTCAGGCATTTATCAAACCTGGCAACTCCGGGCTTCCTTGCAGCTGTCAATCAAAGTCCAGTGGCTACGCCCCAAAGTGCCAGACATTTTTCACGCGCGCGTAGACAGACTCCGCGAGCGAGTGAGGCTGACACTCCCGCGAGGGAGCAAGAGAGCTGTCTCTACTTATTATATTTACAGCCCTAATAACATTCATTTTCTGGGCTCAATATGTGTCTTGGCTGTTTTCGTTGTGATCGCTAAATTCACCTTGTTCAAACAC